CGGGACTCACCCGTCACCTGCCCGTTGTGCTCCTTCAGCTCGTGGATTTTGCTCCACTTGGCCCCGTCCTTGCGGTAAATGTGAACCTCGTGGTTGTTGGGGCACAGGGCGATCTCTGGGGGCGACAGGGCCAGGGCAAAGCCCTTCCTGGGTCACGGGCTCTGTGGGGGCAGCAGGGCCAGGCAGCCCCCACTTCGGCCCTTCCGGGCTCAGTCCCCCCTGCACCGGCAGGGGGGGTCCCACCAAGGCCCCCAGCCCTGGCCCTGCACTGCCCTGACACTGCAAATTGTCCCTCAGGGGAGGGAGAACCCCAGACCCAACAGCCTGGTGTCCTCCTTTCCCTAGAGAGTGATCCCATGGGGCTGGAGGGATGGGATAGGATGGGATAGGATAGGACACGGGATGGCTGCAGGCGCACAGTTCCCGAATCCAGCCCCAGCCCGCCCCTCCTGCCCGGCTGCAGCAGAGAAAGCCCTTTTTGTTCTCCCACGTCCCCTGTGCCGCAGTCGGGAAATGCCATCGGCCGCGAATCACCCGGCACCCGGCCCAGCCCTGCTCTGCTCTGCCCTGCTCTGCTCTGCCCTGCTCTGTGCCCCGTCCGTCCCTCCCCACGCCCCGCAGTGCCTCCGGGCCGGACACTGTGCTTGCACCCCTGTGCCAGGCTCTGTCCCTGTGCCAGGCTCTGTCCCGGTGCCAGGCTCTGCCCCAGCAGAGGGATCTGGCAGACACAGAGGGGAATATGCTGTCCCAGCCCCCAAATCTGTCTGTAGCAGGATTTACATCCCCAAACCCAGCCCCAGCCCAGCTCTGCCCTGTCCCGGGAGCATCTCCCACCAGAGGGATGTTTAGCCAGGACAGTCAGTGCTTCGGGTTATCCCTGGGGATTTTGGGATGGGGTGCCCTGGCCGTACTTACGGGTCCGGTCTTTGTTCCAGGCATGGCAGCTGATGGGCTCCAGCAGGAAGCTGTGGTAGGCCATGGCTCACGGGCTGGGAACAGGGAGAGACCCCCGTGGCTGGTCAGGACATGTTGCTCCAGCCACTGGGACAAGAGACTTCCAGCTCCCAGTCCCACCGAGCGATCCCTCCCACTGGGATCAGCCCTGTGTCACAGCCCACTGTGTCCCCTCTCTGCTGGGGAGGGGGTTTCCCTGAGGATTTCCAAGCTCAGAGACTGCTCGCTTCCAGAGACTTCCAAATCCCACCACCAGCTCCTGCCCCGGCCCCGCTGGACTCAGTGGCAGGAGGGGGCAGGGCAACACAAGGGGCCCTGGCTGACAATTCCCAGCTGTCTCCACCATGGGCAGCACTCCTCTCTCCAATCCCCACGACAGCCAGACCACTTCCTACTTTCCCATCTCTCATGTAGAATGTGCCAAAGCCCCATGGAGACAGCTCCATCCCATCCCATCCCATCCCATCCCATCCCACCCGTGCTCAGCCCTGGTGACTAATCCTTTCTCCTGGCTGAGCTCCCACTGTTCCTGCTGGTCCCCACCAACCGCTCCGGTGTCACCAGATGGAGCAGCTTCCCGCAAGCCCCCTCCAGGTGCCACGGGACCAGGAAGGGACCAGGAAGAGCTCGGAGCAGCCTCACAGCCCCCTGGCCATCCAGCTGAGGGAATGCAGGGATGTAGGGAAACACCTCGCCAGGGCGTGACCGACGGGATTACTCACAGCTTGCTCTCGGCTATTTTGGGAACTCCCCGAACACGTCCCGTTTTCTTTGGCAGCTGAAAACGGTACAGGGGAAGGAAAAAAGTCCCTCCCAGCAAAGCTCCGTCCCTGGGCTGGGGAGAAAAAAATGCAAAGAGCTCCATCACCTGCCTGCTGCATGTGGAGAAATCCCAATGCCAATGCAAACCACAAGCCCTGCTGTCACACACCCTGCCAAAACATCTGTCCCCACTGTCCAAGGACGTGGGCATGGATGAGCAGACAGCTGCTCTGTCCCAGCTGATCCCCCTGGGATGCAGCACGGGGTGACTCAAGGAGGGCACAAAGCTGCTGCCACCGGGTACCTGCTGGAGCAGCACCACGAGGGACGGATAAAATCAGCACAACAGGGACACTGCTGTTCCCTCAGGAGAGGGAAAATGTGTGAAATAGGGACTTGGCTGAAACCAGGACCCAGTGGAAACAGGCACTGGCTGAAAGGGCTCCCAGGAGGAGGGATGGGAGGCAGGGCATGCCATGGTGCTTTCCGGCCTCGATGTTCGCTAAGAAAACAATGATGCTTTGGGTTTTTCCAGGTGGTTTGGATGCTCAGAGGTATAAACCCTTCTCCCTGGGGGTCCTGTTGCTCCCTGGTTTAATGCCACCCTGAGGGGATGAGGTCAGCTGCTGTGCCAGGAGCAGAGGCCACCTCAGGAAGGAGTGAGGGTTGCTCAGCCCTTCACACTCCAGTCCCTCCCTGCAGCAGTTGGTGTTTCATTTCCCCCACAGCCCATTTACAACCAGTTCCCTAAGCCCTGCTCCTGCCCTGGGGTGACCCACAGAAGCTTGGCAGCCCCTTCCCCACC